GTAGCTTTACATTAGCGACGCTACTTTTAAAACAGTGTAGCTTTTCCTGTAGCTAGCTACTTTTTCCTGCAAGCAGTGTAGCGTGACTAAACGCAACATTACGTTTTGCATTCTGACGAGTCACAAGCCTGTAATGCATTGAAGCAGCGCAGCGTCTTCTTCTGACTAGATCACAAACTAAATTTGTTAATTACCGCCATCTGTTGTTGTGATCTCACGCATAGCGCGGCTTTACAGTCTTTCCACTCACAAGAGATCGTCTGATGATATTGCAAAGGATGTACACAGGAGTGGATGTTTCACATGAATCAACTGTAATTTATGCAAAACAAAGATTAAAATGCGGTCTACGTCGAAGACTTAAAGGGGTCATATGATGCAATTTCAAATTTTCCTTTCTCTTTGGAGTGTTACAAGCTCTTGGTGCATAAAGAAGGTCTGTAAAGTTGCAAAGACTAAAGTCTCAAATCCAAAGAGATATTCTTTATAAAAGTTAAGAGTAAACCTCACCTACCTAAAACGGCTCGTTCTAACACGCCCCCACATATCTACGTCACTATGTGGGAAGATTTGCATAACACCGCCCAAATGTTCACGCAAAGAAAGAAGGCGTAACTTTTTTATAGCTGTAGTATTGTTGCCACCGCTGCCATACGACAAGGCGCTGTGTGCTTCGTTGTGAAAGCGAAACTACTTTGTTTGGTCTTCGGAGGTGAATAATAGCCTTTTTAAACTGATAAATTGTTCTTCTTTATTGCACTCTAGATCAAATGTCTATTTTACAATGATGTACAGTCATAATTTAATCTGTCCCCCCACAGTTTTGTAATGAACACTTAATCGAACAGAAAATAAAATCATGATATAGTAGTGTGCTTATCATTTGTCAAAGGATGGTTGTGGCGGGATTCACGCAAAGCGCACAGCTGATTATTGACGTCTCCATTCCCAGTCAGTAAATACCGCATGTGCTGTGAGTTTAACCTGCTTATTTTATGACAATATATGGCAATATACTGTATTTTATTATTGTGTGTATCGAATAGTTTACAAAATGAAATGTTTGGGAAACTTTTTGTCATTGAAATGGCTTGGAAAAGTGTCCCAATCAACCTGAATTCACCCTACTCTTTGAAATCATGATTGCATTACAGTATGTTGTTTTAAACCTCAAATATATTACTTGTAACGTCATTATATTTTACTTATAACTTCATTATAATGCTTCATTAATAATTATTTCGTTATTTGTAATGTTAATTGTAAAAAAAAAAGAAAAAAGTTGAAAGTAGTTTCAATGTAGCTAGCTACTTTTTGACAGTAACTTGTAGTGTAGCTAGCTACTTTTTCAGAAGGGTAGCTTGAATGTATAACTACTTTAATTTACGAGTAGCTTGTAGCTGGTCAAGCTACAGTTTCAGAGTAGCTTCCCCAACACGGCATACTTAAGGTAAGGGTAAATGTTTGGTCAACTGAAATGGACAAAAATGGAACTTAAAGGAATAATTATTAAAAATAATCAATAAAAAATACGAAATTATCTCACCTTCTTACCCTAATATGTGTTACATCCTATATGAAAACAACTTTCTCCATGTTACCTGCCTGTGTTTTGTTGGTGTGGATCAAATTAAAGGATGTCAAGTACAGACCTTTGCGATTACATAAATCACAATGACTGTCTGTCAGTCAGAGAAGAAAATGGACCTGACATTTTGTGGTGGAGACTGTACCAGCTTTAGCAGGTGAGTACACACAGACCTACACAGGCCACATCCTAACTGAAACAGACCCTCATAAGTGACCGATTTGAAGTGCTATACATGTGTTTTTCTCTCTTTCTCACATGCGTAGGTACACTGAACCTGGATTGACCTCTTGTAGCAAGCCACTCGCTCAAGTAATCGCACAGTGAATCTTGGTTGCGTAACCGGAGACATAGTGACCTACACGTACATCCATGTTGAGGAGTGTGCCTGAGTGCTATACATGTGTTTTTCTCTCTTTCTCACATGCGTAGGTACACTGAACCTGGATTGACCTCTTGTAGCTGTTGGCAAGCCACTCGCTCAAGTAATCGCACAGTGAATCTTGGTTGCGTAAACGGAGACATAGTGACCTACACGTACATCCATGTTGAGGAGTGTGCCTGCAGCACAACTAACTGTCATTTTTGATTTATGGCTAATAATTGATTTAGGGTTAGCCATGTGACAGTTTGTCCAATATTATAGTACGATAAGTACAAATCACAAATACTTTTTCATTACATTAATAACACAGTTTTTGCTTTTTTAGTAAATCACATTAGTCTTTATTTACTGATATGGAATATTATTTGTTGGCATCTTGACTTTGTTTCCTATTATTAAAACTTTTGCTATGTGAGAATGTCAATCCCAGAATCCTTAGCAGTAGATTAAGTACCACCATATTTCAAATAGAAATTGATTAATCATGCAAAATGTGTTTATTTGTAATATACCAGGTCTGACAGGATGTTTAATTAATGCATCCTACAAGTCTGAAATTACAATCAGGTATCAAGATCTCCGACAAACATGAACAGCTTGTCTTTTGGGAGGTAGACCACTCTGCCTATGTATGGTTTGATTCGATCTCTGTGTAAATACAATGTAATATTTGTAATGGCCATATGATTTAGGTTTGTTGATAATACCTGGCAATTTTTTTTTGTTGTAATTCACTGTTTTTTATTTTGATAGAACACACAAAAAAAACATTACAACAAAGCAGAGAAAACCTATTAAATAAACCATTGCCCTCCCAGAACCTCCCCCCATCCCACACCCACCCCATCGTACCCCAGGACCCACATAATCAACCCAATATCAAATCAAATATATATATAAAAATATATACAAGCAAAATCGGTAATAATATTAACAACAGAATTACATCTTTAGATTAAATGACCAAAATCTTCGAGACTATGGAAATCCAGTTCTTCCAAATAGATAAAGTAGAAGGCGTTGCGTAATTAGTCCGTGCAGAAGACAGTTCCAGATATAATATTTCCAATAAGGAATGAATCCAGTGCTTAGGAGAAAGGTCATGTACCTGGCAATTATGAAGTACTGTTTCTTTGCATGCAATCCAAAAGAAACAAGGAACATATTAGGCATGAAACAGGATATGGATTCTAATTATGATAAGATATTTAAACAGAAAAGCATTGGATAAATAAGCAACAGCAAACCAGCTGGTTGTTCCAGACATCTTACATTGTATTCAATCATACATGTTTGAATATTGACTTTTGGTGGAAGTCTATCAAGTGGTCTAACAACCATGGAGTGATGTTGTGGCATACAGTAGTTGGATAAATAAGGCCTGGAATCTCACTAATAAATCACATATATGATCAGGTTTAGTAAATGGATTTGATCGTGTGTTGTAAGTGACAGACCAACCAGGATATATCAATGAAGGAAATTATGAATTCTTATGTCTGAACCAACCAAACGTGCACTATTGTTGATGTACTGATTTATAGTATGTACACCATTGGTGTTCTGTCCATATAAGCTGCGAATGCTCCGCATATCCGGCCAGCATAGGCGTAGCTTGATGTTTGGGCCAAACCGAACTGGTGAATTTGGTCAGACGTACTTTTAAACACATTTTAGTTTTGCTATAGTAAATCTACATATTCACATAGAGCAGTGGCAAGTGCATGAGTTTGTCATGGTAACCACATACATTGCCCACGAATTACAGCTGCGCTTCTATTCTGCCACACTAAACTTAGCAATAAACACGTTTAAAATGCACAATAAACATGTCTATCAAAACGATCTTAAAGGAAGCTTTTATTAAGCCAATCAAGGAGTGAATTACTCATTTGTTGGGCTTGATTCAAGTTAATGCACAATGAGGCGCACACTTTTTATTTAGTCTTATTGAATAGACGATAAACAGTTTGTATTCTAAAATCTATTTAAAGGTTGTGTTCTGTGAAAATTAAATAACATTTGGATGTAAATGGTCGGCATAAAAGTAGTGTGCGGCTAAACCGGCTGCGTCCTGTGGATCACCTTTATCTGATTGCCGGGGTCCGGAATCATTAAGCACGGCATTAATATCTTCATCTGAGTTTTTTGTTGTCTCCAGATTGCTCTGCAGTTCGTGTATGTTGTTAAAAACGCGGAACATAATTTTATTCCACACAACAGGCAAGCATTACCGTTAAGTCTTTTATCCACCAAAATGCAGATTTGTCACGTGACAATTCTTACGCAAATTAAATTTGTTTTGATTTATTAATTTACTTACAATAACAATTTAAAATGTATTAACTTTTGCGTATTCACTTTTACATGTGTTATTAACTGCATTATATGCATTTTTACTTCATAGAAAAAAACTTTATAAATAAATATTTAGTACAATTCTTAAATCGCTATGGGGGAGCCAGGCCCCTTATTTTCAGGAAATGCACAGCTTAGGTATTTCCAGACAGGTCTTGCGCATGTTATAGTTCCATATAAGCCCTAAAAAATACAGTGCCAATTCTACATTTAAAATGACTAATAACAAATGTTCATCTGTTGTATTTTTGTATTTTTCATTTTTTCAATTTATGAAGGTGCTGTAGATTCTTTCCTGCTTTGATTTCCTTTTGGAACTATTTTCATTGAAAAAACGGCAAAATAACTGGCAATGTTGTGTCATGTAAATGAAAATGCAAATAGACTTTTTGCTAACCCAGAACTAGTAGATGGGTAGATATTGATAAGTTTCTCTAGGAAAGAATTGTGTGCCCACTGGATTCACACCCTTGTTTAGTTTGAGATGAAACGCAGATACACCCAGTTTTGTGAGTGGCAAAAATGTTTTTCACAACTAAGGTTTGCATAAATGTTTAATCTCAAACACAGCTATAGGACAATAAACATTTGTCTGATTAAAAGATAGAATCCCATGGTAATGCATTAGATGGGTTCTACCTTCTGATCACAAATTAAATTTTTCCAAAGATGAAAATTCCCTATAAAAGAGCAAGTTTTGACAGACAGTTCACATTAGCTCTTGAGGATGGTTGTTGTCTGCATGGGGACTGTGAGGATGTCCCAGATGTGGATGCTGAGATGGGTCGTCCTACTGCTGGGGCTCCAGCTGACACAAGCAGGTTAGATGACTATAATATATTATTGCACAACATTACAAGTCCCTAACTTGTTTTTCTCTCTGACTACTCCATCTTCCGTCTCTGAGTTAATCTTGAAATCGAGCTCTTCATCCTGTCGACTTGACCCTGCTCCTACTTCTCTTCTGAAACTTTGCCATTATTTTATTTCTGCACCTCTCACTTCATTAATACATCACTTACCTCTGCTTCATTTCCTCTGCCACTCAAAACCGCTGCAGTCCTTCAGTTCTATCTAAGTACACCCTCTATCTATGTACACCCTTCATTGCTAAATTACTGGAAAGTACTGTTGCCTCTCAGCTTCAATCTTTTCTAATCGAAAATAATCTCTTTGATCCCTTTCAATCCGGTTTTCGCACACTCCATAATACCGAAACTGCACTGGTAAAGGTAGTGAATGATCTACTACTTTCTGGCGACTCTGGTTCTTTGTCTATACTTCTGTTACTTGATCTCAGCTCTGCCTTTGACACAGTCTCCCATGAATTGCTTATTTCTCGTCTCTCAGATTTGGGTATTTCTGGTGATGCCCTTTCTTGGTTTCCTTCCTATCTCTCTGACAGACAATTTTACATATCAGTAAAGGATTTTCGATTACCTTTACTGAAGCAAGGTGTCCCCCAGGGATCCGTTCTCAGGCCATTATTATTCATAATTTACAAAATGCCACTTGGTCAGATCTTACACCGTCATGGTCTAAATTATCACTTTTTCGCTGATGACATCCAATTGTACACTATCTGTACACCTGCTCTCCCTGCCCAAATTGACAAAATCTCTGCTTGTGTGAACAAAAATAAAACATTGGCTTAACTTAAATTTTCTGAAACTTAACATGGACAAAACTGAGACAAAACTGACAAAACTCATTTTTATTGGAACTCTGTCACTCACTAGCAATATTCCAACTAATTTCACCTGTGAGATTGCTGGTTCTTACATCAAACCATCAATACTGTTAAAAATGTAGGTGTAATCTTCGATTCCTCTCTCTCCTTTCAGGCTTATATAAACTCTATCACCAAATCAGCATTCTCTGATCTGCGTCGGGTTCTCCAGCTCCGTCCCATGATCTGTGTTAAAGACACTGAAACTGTTATCCATGCATTTGTTACATCACGCCTTGATTACTGTAATGGCCCCTTCATTATTTTACCTGCCAGCTCCATTTCCAGATGGCAATACATTAAAAACTCTGCAGCTAGAATACTTACCCACACCAAGCGTTCTGCTCATATCACCCCAATTTTGTATGATCTCCACTGGCTTTCAGTATGTATTAAATTCAAAATTCTCCTGCTCACTTTCAAATCATTGCATGGCTTGGCTCCCTCGTACCTTTGTAACCTGCTTCTCCCCTACACTCCGACTCGTTGACTACGATCTTCGGACTCTTCCCTTCTCGTTGTCCCTCGGTATCGCCTCTCTTCAATGCGGGGCAGATCATTCAGTGTTATTGCACCGAAACTCTGGAATTCTCTCCCCTGCTCACTCTGTTGTGTTAATAATATTTCTGAATTTAAATCATTACTCAAAACTCACTTATTTTCTGAATGTTACCATCCTTACATTTTGTATTTGGTGTGCTAGATTCTTTTCTGCTATATGTTGCCCCGTCTATATAATGCTCTTTTACTGTTTCTACTAACTATTGTTGGTCATCATTGTCTCCCCTTTCAGTGTTATTCTTTTCTAGTGGAATGTACATTGTAAAGCGTCCTTGAGCCCTGGAAAGGTGCTCTATAAATAAAACGTATCATTATTATTATTAGTAGTAGTACAATAATATATGCACATCAAAACTTTTAATTTGAACAAACTGAGTTTGACCCGATAGAAACTATAATTTTAGTTTATTAATTGCACCTAGCATAATTAGTCAGTTAATTATTTTTGCCCTAGTACTACATGCATTGATTTATGATTAATTAAATAATTAAAATAATTAAAAAGAGTTTTAATTATTTAAAACGATTCAAACTGTTTAATGATGTTCCTCTTTGTCTTCCATTTTTAGTGTTCCCTGACATGACAAATGTGATCGTAACTACAGGTATGCAGTCCTTAATTTTTTTTTTAAATCACTGAAACTGCTTATTCAGTGCCTATTCAGTGCCAGTTTACTATTTACTATTTTCTACTTATAGACCACATATTTTTTTACTTTCTCTCTTGGTTCAGTTGCACCAAATCCTGATCATCAGTCCACGATCTGTAGCACATGGGGAAATTTCCACTTCAAGACCTTCGATGGTCATTTCTTTCAAGTGCCAAACACGTGCAACTACATTCTGGCTGAGTTGTGCAACAGCAAGTATTTTAGCATTGAAATGCAAAAAAAGATAGTAAATAACTCAGTCATTTTCAGCAAAATCACTGTCAATCTGGAGGGCACAGTCATTGAACTCACCAGCAACAACATCATCATGGATAACAAAGTGTGAGTTTTTTTATTTTTATAAACTTGAC